ATATATATAAATTTTATAATTTTTGACTGTATAGTTAATGATTTAAAAATTATCAAAGTTGAAATTTATAATAAAAATATAGTAAGTGGACTCAAACTTTTGGAAGCAACCGTATTACTAATATTGATATTATATTAATATTAATTTAATTAGAATAAATAAACTTTTATAAAAACATTATCTAATTAAAATAAAAGCCTGAAGACCTTAGCTTTTTTTTCTAAAAAAGCTATTTTTTTTTATTTAAAAAACTTATTAAAAAATAGAAATATTATATTATATATTTTTTGCTTATCATTATTGTTTTTCTTAGAGATTTTTTCAATTGAAAATAACTTTTTTATAAACTTTTTTTTTATTATTAATAATATTATAAAAACATATAATTGTAATCAATAAAAGCTTATTTATATTTAAAAAATTAATGTATTTTGTGTTAATTAATTATCTTTAGTAAATATTATATTACTTAAAATTTTAAAATTAAACTAAGATAAATAGAATTCTTTTGAAAATTATGAAAATAAGAGCTTAAAAAAAATAATAATTGATAAGAAAAATAAGTCTTTCTATTATACAGATCTTTATAAAATTTATTTTAAAAATAAAAAAATTTGTTAAATACTTCACAATTAAATTTTTTTTAGATAATTTTTTACTATTAATAGTAAAGTATTATTTAACTTTTTCTTGATTATCAAAGATCAAGTTTTTAGTTAAAGAGATTTATTTATAAATAAGAACTAAAATATAGTAGCAACTTTTGATTAGTTAAAAAATTCAAAAATTTTTGATAAATATTTTTTGATAAATATTTTTTTATAAATAATTAAAAAAACTAAAAAAATATTTTTTTTATTTATAATATTTATAAAAGTTATTGTATATAAAATTTGAATTATATTTAAAAATTTGTTAAAAGTAGTTATTTTATATATTTTTAAACTATTTTTTTAAAAATTATTAAAATTATTATATTTTAAAAGTAATATATATAATAATAATAAAAGAATGATATATTAAATTCTAATAAGTACTAGTCAAAAAATATTTATTCAATATAATATTATTTATAATATTCATAAAAAAAAAAGATAATAATTTAATAAATTAATGATATAAATAAATCATCAATTAATTTTAGACCTACAGGTCCATAGTGCAATGGTTAGCACTCCGTAGGTCAGATCATAAGATACAGGTTCAAATCCTTCAGATTGAAATGTCTGAAGTTGATAATAATCTGCATCCATTGGCCTAACCGTATCTAACCAACATTTCCAAATATAGCTACTTGTTTTAAGGAATTATCGGGGAAGAATACCTGTTGATAAGTAGTATGGTCTATATAAGGATTGTGATCAGCTGTGATATCCAAAATCGGCTAAGATTATCCTGATGTTACTAGTTACTGTATAGAAGCAATATAGTAATGAACATAAGAGTAGATCCCTAAACCGGTAGGATGCCGCTGATAATCAAGCATTGGTCTTTGTGCCACTTACTGACTTAATTATCGGGAGGTCTTGATGTGAGGAGAAATCCGCGGACCACTCTGAAGGACCGAAATACTAGGTCCAGGATACTGTATTCGATGACCTGATAACCTACCTACTCTGGTATAAAAATGTGTAGGAAATAATTAAGACAGAATCATGCAGTTTTCTGTTGAAGTAGTACTTATACATATATAGTATGATCAATATAGCTAGCCATATATATGATAGTTTACTATGATAGTTAATGTATATAGTGCTTATTTGAGAATGTACACAGTAGACACATTACCCCTTTATTTGTCTATACAAGCACATACGACAGTGATTCTGATCTACTGAATAACTCAAATAAAAGCTGTAGGGCTTGGTCAGACATACGACAGTGACAACCTGTTGGCAATGATGCAGTGGACTAGGAGGGCCTTCTTCCAAAAACACTGTGAAGTGAAATATTGTCCTCAAGGCCAAACTTAGAGGCTTTTATGCTTACGACGAGTTAGTTAGATTTGAATAATAGTTTAGCTGTAGTATGTATCATGCTGCTCGAATGAAAATGTACTTTTGTCTTCATTTGATTAATAAACTAATGATCTAGTCTAGTTATGGGTATACAAAAAAAAAAAAAATAAGCCATTATAGTATAATTGCAGATTAAAAAAAAAATTTTTATCAATTTTAATATATATGATAATTCTATTTAAATTTTATTTTTTAATGCTTTTAAAATTTAATTTTATTATCTACTATATATAGTTCAAACTAATATAATAGTTTATTTATGTTTATAAAATAGCTTAATTCTTTAACTAATAATATACAAAGTCAATTATTATAGAATAATAAATATAATATTGTAGATGTTTATTGATCCCTCTTTCTATTAATTCTTTAATTATACACAGAAAAGATATTCACAAAAAGTTTTATACTTCTTTGCTAATATAGTTTTACTACTTTTTTAAAACAAACTTAAATAAAACTTCAAGAGTCATTTCTATGTCTCTTCCTTCTTATTATTACTCTTTTTCAAACAAAAATTTAATTATTAGTAATCAAAAAGTCAAGCAACACTCTTTTATCAATAGCAAGAAAGTTCTAAAAAGAAGAAAAACTAATGTGTAGTCACCTCACACTGTAGAGAAACAATACAGAGTGTTGTTTATAACAAGAGACTCTTTTTTCACTCTCTTTATTATTTGATTACTCTAATAGCACTCACTTCTGGGTTTTTTTGAGGAATTTTGTCTATCTCAGTTTGACCTTAAATTTTGAGTAGCATAAAGTTTCTCACATCATGATTGGATAAAAATTTTATATTAGTAAAAGATATAAATAAGCTCCTATTGATCACTTTACGTGTTCTAATGTATTTTATCAAATTCATAAGAACTTGAAATCCTTTTTGTTGGTGCAGATGGATAAGAACACTATCAACTCTTATATTTTTGATCAAATGAAAGAGAAATAACATACTCTCACTTATCCTCTATCAAAAAAGAAGAATGAAGACAAGGTTCAAAGAAATACAGAATAAGAATGATGTTTTAAAAGTGTTATGCCTATTCTTCATTAGTATGAATATTGAAATATTAAGGTGATTTTAGAATCATTCGTATCTAATCAATAACATTAATATGTAGTCAAATAATTCAAGTAACTAAAAAATATGCTACATTGGAACATTAGACAATGGTTCAATCTTTACAGATGGTAGTACTTTGGAGAAAACAGTATAATATTTATTAAATTCAACAAGACATATGCTGGAAGTATAAAGATTCTTCTTTTTAAGCTGGAGTTATTGCAATAATAAATAAAAACAGATTGTTGAATAATGAGTCTCCAACTATACAATACTTATTCACCTTCTCTATATTTTAGAGCTCTTTGAAACCTTTGACTTATTATCACCAGAAAGAATATCAGTAGAAAATTCTATATTGGATAGGGTATGGAAGAAAAAGGTAAAGAATTGATAGACAAGGATCATAATATAGAGGTCCTGAAAGCAGTGAAGGAACAGGCATTACACTTTGAACTGATGAAGTTCTCAAAGAGTAACTGCCCATGGTATTAATATGATAGTAGTAGTGGGTTTTCAAATTACTCATAATCAAATCATTTTTTTTTTTTCTTTTGATATATTTTTTGTAATGCAGAATCTTCATCCTTGTTTAAATTTGTATAATCTTATTTTCAATTTTCTCTTTAAATAGAGATATTGAGGTAGAATATCAAATACAATAGCAAAACAGATCAGATAGTCTATGATAAACATAGATTTGAATACAATTCTTCTAATTCACTCTTTCGAAGAAATCAAAATTTATATTAATACTAGTAATTTTTATATTAATTCTCCTAATCTTTATGAGGTGGCAATAGTTACAAGGTGAATTTTCATCCTATTGTTTACTTTATTTGAAAAGTAGATCAGATATATAAGTTAAGAATTTTTCCTTATTTTATTATTTTAATTAAATCAATAAAGTATGGTTTTGCTACATTTTTAAAAAAAAAAAATTTGTAGGTGTTTATTTAATATCTCAATAAAGACATGCCATTGTGAGTTAAAAAATAATAACAATAATAATAATAATTATAAATAATTAATTAACTTATAACTGAATAAATTTAATAAATTTTAAATTTTAATCAAATAAATAATTAAAAAAAAAAAATAACTTATAAATAAATTAATAATTATTAAAATTATATTGTTATTTATTATTTTATATGTACAACAGTAGGATTTATTTTTTATCTGACGTGACGGACGAGTGCAGGCTGGCCTTGTTAAGTAGAAATCGATCTTTATAAAAGTATTCATCAATAAAGAAAGACACATACTGAGTACTTCGAATGGTGAGATTTATCTCTTTTCCATTTTAGATCTTTTTTAAAAACGCCCCACTATTTTTTGAAGTGCACAGTTGAATCACGCATACACTTGGACATTTAGTTCTTTAAATAGTTTTTTTTATTTATTTTATTAAGAGTTATTTGTAAATACAAGGCACAAATGAAAATAATAAAATATAATAATTTTTTTTTTTTTTTTTGTTCTTTTTTGATAAGAAATGTAATGCTTAACAAATATGCAACGAAGGGAAGGGGGATAATTAGGAACACGGAGAAGTGAATAGAATGTAAAATACAAGGTTATATACGTTTTTTTTTTTTTTTTCTTTTTTTTTGATAAAGACTTTGCATGTACCACCAATTTTTACAAGCATTTCTTAAGCTTTTATTTCTTTCTCAGGCGTAATCCCTTCCATGTACTCTACCGTTTCTTCCATGTACTCCACCGTTTCTTCCGTTTCTTCCGTAAACTCTTCTTCTGCTTCTTTATACTCATCATCATCATCAGCTTCCTCGTCACCTCCGATGCCTATATTGGCAAGCACCGATTTCCTCGGATTTTCGGTCGCCTCAGCTACAATTTTGATCGTCTTCTCTATGCCCTTCTTGACAATAGCCATAATCGAGTCTTGTTCTTTTTGCGGTGCCGCTTGATTTATGATTATATTGGTAATACTGTTTGTGGTTCTATTGTCGTTGTTGGTGATGCTATTGTCGGTGTTGGTGGTGGTATTGTTATTGGTGATATCGATTTGGTTTGTGGTGGTGTTATAATAATTGACAACCTTTTGCTCTACATTCTCTACATTCTTTGTCGTTATATGTTCCACGACCTTTGTTTCTATATTTTCCACGACTTTCGTTTCTATATTCTCGACAACTTTCGTTCCGATGTTTTCAATATTTTGTTGCTCGACGTTTTGTGCGATATTCTTCTCAACGTTAACATTCCCTATTTTATTCAGTATATTACCATGCACCTCTTCGATGCTTGTCTTTGATTCACCCATGCTCACGGTTTCAATATTATTTTCGAAATTGGTCGTGCTAAAATTCTCAATGGTCGTTTCTGCACGACCTATGTTTTGTTGTGCAACGCTTGTTTTAACTTCATCGGCTGTAAGGTTCTCGATGTTGGTGGTACCTTGCTTAATTTCCTGATGATTTATGGTATTATTGATGGTTCCCACGGTCGAATTTTCGACAATACTTTCATCATTTTCTATGGTTTGCTGACCCACGCTCACATTAACGTTGTTTACATTCACTTCATCATAATTGTTCTCCACTTCATTAATAGCAACGCTTTCGACTCGGTTGGTAATACTACCGATGTATTGGTTTTCAGTAGTTGTTTCGGCGGTGTCTGCAGTTATACTACCGACTTCGTTATGCATTGTATTGATCTGCACATTATCCATATGAGTTTCCACAGTTTCGACCGTCATATCGTTCATCTGGGTATTAACTTTCTCCGCGTTCAAATTTTCCACCTCTATGTGAGCGCCTGGGGTGTTTAGATCTTGTGTTTCGATTTTTACATTGTTGGTATCGGCATTCATCACCAGATTGTCGGCATTGATATCAACTTTTTCCGGCTGTGGGATAATTGTACCTGTGCTGTTTACACCTAACGTTTCCTCCTCGATTGCATCCGAAGCTTGTGCAGTCGTCTTGAAATCACGAGTATCCTTGGTGTCGACATTTAAAAATTCTTCAGTCTTTACGACTTGATCAACTTTCGGCGTATCCACGGCAGGAATTTCGGAAACTTCCTCCACAATTTCCGTTTCTTGTTCCTCCACATTCATACCTTCACCGACTTGTACAATCATAGTTTCTTCCGTAATTTCAACATCAGCATCATTCAGAACGTTCTCGTTTTCCTCGGCATTAATATCAACATCATTCTGAACGTTTACATTTTCTTCGGCATTAACATCAACATCATTCTGAACATTTATATTTTCCTCGGCATTAACATCAACATCATTATGAACGTTTATATTTTCCTCAGCATTAACGTCACTCTGAACGTTTATATTTTTCTCGGCATCAACATCATTCTGAATGTTTACATTTTTCTCATTAAAATCGTCATTCTGAACGTTTACGTTTTCCTCCGCACTAACAGCATCATTCTGAATGTTTACGTTTTCCTCCGTAATAACGGCATCATTCTGAACGGTGGCATCTTCTCCCTCGTTAACAAGGTCATTCTGAGCTTTTGCATTTTCCCTCACAATAACAACCTCCTCTTGTTCTTTTGCATTTTTCTCCTCCTCTTGTTCTTTTGCATTTTCCTCCTCCTCCCTAACATCCTCTAACGCAATCTCATTTTCAGTAAAAGTCCGAGAAGTTTCCTTTTCCAAAGAATCCTGCCTCTTTCCGTCATTGTCGGATTGAGTTGGTTGAAGTTCCTTGTCAGTTGACGAAGATTCTGCACCATCTTGAATTTTGATGCCTTCTTCGAACTTCAAAGATTCTTTTTTGATGTTTTCTTCGACCTCCACTTTGTCTTCCTTCAATTTTTGCACCTGTTTCACCAAGGAACACATCTCCTTGTTTTTACCGGTACCCCAAATGTTTAGGCATTCTTCGGCCTATAAATAATACGTGTTTTGCAATGATTAAATATTGTCAATGCTGTCCATCACTTTCTCGATGCTCGGAACACAACATACCTTAGACTTTAATTCCTCGCACCTATCCCCGATGACGAGTATCACCTCAATCGCCTTGGCCGACAATTGTTTTTTAACATCCTCCTTAATTATCTCCTGGCAAAATTCAAATGCGTTCGAGGCGCGTTCAGTGTTAACATGTTCCAAGGAAAAATCCCTTATCGTCCGTTCCATCAAGTCTAGATAGCCTATTAATAGTGTATCGACGTTGTCCGGAAGGGAGACCTTCATGGCTCGACTGTTTTCGGTATAAAATGTCGGTGAGTGGAAAATAGAAATGGCAGCGCAGAGGACATCTGAAAAGTGCATTCCTACCTGGCCTCCTTTAAAAATTTATATTTGGCGTTTTCGTAATAATTGTTTTTTTTTAAAGTGTCAAATTCCCTTCTCGCCGCTTGGTTCAGTTCATCCCAGAATTCGGTGAAGGTTTCGAGACGTCTTTTCGTAGCAAAGAATTTCGTCCTCATTTGTTCCCACTCGTCATACCATTTGCCCGCACCATACTCAAACTGCAATTTAAATGAATTCAGTTTTGTTCATTCATTTCTAAGAGATTTGATTGTTAATTAATTAGCTTGGCGTCAAGAATAAAAATACTTACAGCCAGCAGAGTTGGTTCGTTCTTCAGCTTCTTCAAGCAAGTTCTAACCTCTCGCAACGAAAAAACGATATTCGGGCTGACCATTGATTGGGACATCTTCCAGAAGATGGCGATATTTCTGTATAACTTGTCGCGAATTGATGGTTCCAGCATCGTCTTGGACCTTGAGGCCACGTGAATCACGGATGATAATGCTCGACTAAGATTGATGAGTTGTTAATCATGTGATCGAAGACGCAATTGCATTGTGATGATGACGACTTACAGGTGAAGTTCAAGGCAGGCGGAGGATTCATCGTGTTTTACAACTGTATGATCCCCAAGGTATTCGACCGATCTTGTCACAACATTTTGCACTGAGGATCAAAGAAACATGGGATTATAAATGGATGAACATGAGATGCTGATATTTTCGGCCATAAGTTCAAAAAACATACATACCATCAGAGGTGACAGCCGCCGAGTCCTCCATTAAGCAAAGGATCTCGTGTAGCACAAGGTTGCGCCTGATATAGCGGCAAGGTATTTCGTAAAGGGAAATAATGAATGGTCGCTGTCTTGAGTTAACCTCTCGCGAGAAAAAAAAAACGAAAACGGACTTACAATGAATTACTCTTATCCGACAAAATTTTAAGAATGACATCAACTTTTTCCTTTGGGGGGAATGGTTGCTGACTATTGTTGACGCCGTTGCTAGCTTGGAGGGTGGTGTTGGTGGCGCCAGCGGAGGAAGTAGGTATTGAAGAATTGCTGGAATTGAAAACCCCACGAAATTTTATAGATATGGACTTCCTGATTCTGGATGCCATGGTTATCGAAAAATTTTGTTAGGATGATGAAAAGGAAACAGTGTTGCAATGATTTTTCCTAATATTTTTAATCTAATGTGTGTGTGATGGTAAATAAATATGTGATTGATGAATCGTCGGTCACTAAAATCTTTAAAATTTTGACGTTTGGAAAAAAGTAAGGTACAAGAAAATTTGTTAGCAAAACAGTATAAGGAAAATATCAATTTCTTATGGAAAGAGTCATCCCTTCCATTCATCCGCTTTGTTGTCTGTTAAAAAGAAAAAAAAGCATGTACGTATGTACATGTGTTTCCCACTTTTAGACCTGAACTGCAGCAAGTCGGTCCGAAAAACAACAGCCAAATGATAGCCTTATAGAATATGTGATTCTGAATAGGTGAGTTGTACTCGGTGAATGCATACATCGAAAACAAATGGGTCATATACATTGCATATACCGTACTGTACGTACGTGCGTACAACTTTCATATCGGTCAAGAATATATTTGTATTACAACGCACCCATAATATTTTGTTGGGCATAAACCTAAGAATCCCGTATAACGCATAAGTGAAAAAAATTTTTTTTAACAAAGCGTTTCCTTTGTACAAAGAAACTCACCACGAATGAATCACGTGAATTCACGTCGACGCCGCAACCATATAACCGGCCGGCGGTAAGTAACTATTGATTTCTTGTGAATAAAAAAGGTCAACCAAAGGCACAGTAGTAAAACTGAATGCATAGTAGACTCCATACACACTGTATAAATTGTTATTGGACTCTTGCGTAAATAAATAAATAAAGTAGCAGATGATTCTATTCTCTTTTTTTTTTTTCTTTTTTCGGTGTTATACAAACGACATTTTCGTCATTATCGTTCTTACCCATAAGTGGAAATCGTGTCGCCCTTAAACCCTAACGACCCTTCGTTACATACCTTACCAGGAGGTTCTGTGAATATTCTATTGTCCAATTCGGCGGGTGACTCAATTATTTTTGGTGGTTATAATGAACTGTCGAATATGGAAACTGGGTTAAATTATTATCAATGCTGATGATGCTGCGTGAGCATTTCATGCGCATTAGGAATCCCCTATCAATTTCGGTTCCACAAGGTTTCAAATTGGAGACCCGTGGGTGAATTGGTTGGCTGACCGAAACCTACGCAAATTGAACCATGCCTCCCTTAACTACCCTACGCAATTCGAAATGATGGCCTTTGCATGTTTTAACAAACAAACATCATTCCAAAAGTTAATGAAGATTTGGTAAAAGTGCGATAACCTTACCCGCAGGCGTGATTCGCCAAGGAATCTACCCCGCCCGCATGCAATTTATTCAATTCATTCACAGCCGGGTAAAGTAAATTTGGTTATATAATTAAATACAGTTAATGGCTCGGATTTTCAAACTTGAAAATTAGCCGGAATGCTAACGTTTCGGAAAGACATTTGCATTTCTCAATGACATCAAAAATCAGATCAATGATGATCACGAGATCACGTGAAGATCAACAAAAAAAAATTAAAGAGCGTTGCCAACTGTTGTTGCTGTGGTTGTTATATCATGCATCGAATGCGGTACATATACAGGAAATCGTTGCTTTCGGTGACCTCGAGACAAGAATGCCATTTTCCCTAAAAATCCTTCGATCTCGTTCTACCAAAGGCCAATCTTGGTTCGCTAAATCCCAAAAAATTTCGCTAACCCTAAAATTCACTCCATTCACACTAATATTATTTCTCATGTTCATCCTAACTTTACAAATCGCTTATTATAAACACATCGAAATACCGATTTGTCGATTATCGATCTTCGACGAGCCATCTTGGATTGAATACGAAGAGATGAAAGAATGTGCAAAAAATGAATGCGAAAGTTACGTCTCCTTGGACAACGGAGCTTTCGTTTTTAGACACATATATATGGATGATTTCGAGAAGGAATTCAACGTGAAACCCATTCACGTCCCAGTAAGCAACCTTTTTTTTTTTTTTTTCTTAAAGAGGCATTTAACTGTTCAAATAAACGATCAATCACATTCCCCGCAGATAATTGACCCATCCGTCTCCGATCTTCTAAGAAACCATAATCTCACCTATGACCTCAAAAACGATCCCGAACTGAATCCATCCGCTGTCGAAGATGTTGTCCAGGAAACGAAAAATTATGCGCACGCGATTGAAGACTTGAAGCGCAAGGTTGACAACGGAACATTTGTGGACGATGGTGGATTATATGTCAGATGGGTTAACGAGATCTTAAGGTATGGAATGTTTGCGGGAAGAGAGTTCATGGAAGGGGAAATGCTCGGTGTTTATGCCGGTAAGTGATCATCATCCATCGTTCGATTAACCTTTTGATGTACTGTAACCATCCTTTAACTCATCATTTAGGATTGATAGTTCGAGATAGCATAGATAACGAATATGGTAGTAATAAAAAAAAAAAAAAAAAAAAGAACGAACCAAACAAAAGATCAGCTATGCACGTCTTTCTTTTCTTTATGTATCTTCTGAGAAAATTTTCTTTGCTTGACATCTAGCATGGGAATACAATTATCTCGTGGATGTGAAAGATCGGAATGGAAAAAAGGTTGAGATATCTGTTGATGGAAAGAATTTTGGAAATTATCTACGATTTGCCAATCATCGTGACTGTAAGTAATGAAATATGGGATCTCCGGAACATCATCGCAATTTTAATTATTTTAATTTAATTACTCCGGAAGAGCGACAACCGATCATTTACATAAAATAATTTATTTAGCTCATCGAAACGGAGATCAAGTTTACATAATTCATGATGATATGTGGTATATAATTTACAGAGCTCAGAAAAAAATCAAGGCAATCAATCTTTTTATTTCTCTTCACGACTAGCTGGTTTCAATATTTTCAATATACTATACTATATTAATCCCTTGTCTAAAACCGACAGCCACACGAACAAATATTAGTGGATTACGGATCCGAATATTGGATCGGCGGGGAGAAATATGACTTTTAATGAACATGGTAAAGCATTGGTTTGTTTCTGTGCTCGAATGTTTTGAATCGTATTAAGCGTTATATATATATATATATTTTTTTTTTCTTAACTAAATTTACGGGCTGTATAAATGAACCGAATTTATCAGATCTAATAATTTTAAGATTGACCGAGTTAAAATCATGAAACAAAAAAAAAAAAATTAATCAAAAAGTAAATAGAATGAATGAGCGATACGTTAATATTATAATGCGATTTTTTTTTTTTTTTTTTTTTTTTTTTTGCGAATGTTATCTTAAAATAAATCGGTTCAATAAAAAAAGTTCGGTCATCTTTCGATGACATCATCTGGAAATGGAATAATTTTAAAAATATTGGCGAAACACCGGGTTATTATTTTTTTTTTTTAGGGATCCTAAACATTATTTTATCTGCCATTTCAATGTTTTGCCTCATCTTCTCGTTCCTTGTAATATTTATAATCCTCAGAAATGTGAATACGCTTAAGCTAAATATAACCTTAATAGTGATATGCATTTTACAAGTATTTATAATATGGCTTCTTATTGGTCGAATCCTAAGGGTTCTTTTGTTTGGAATTGGACTTTCAATTTTCGGAGGCATCAGTTTTCGTTATTTTATGGTAAGAGAAATCTAGGATTCGGCTGGCATAGAATTTTGATATTAAAAGTGCACGTCGATTTTTTCTCAAATAAATTTGACCTCCCGACCGAAAAAAAGCTAGATGAGAGAGTAAAGAGTGGCAGGACGAAATCCCGGATGGGGATCCCAGAAAAATCGTGGATGTTTGAGTCACGAGATGCAAGTAATTTAAACTCGCACTATCTTTATTGACACCCTTCCTTTTGACTAAACATACTGAAAAAATTCCCCCCCTAGATCTTCAAGAAAAAAGTGCGCATCTTATTTGCCCTTTATTTATTTATTTATTATTTATTTATTTATTTATTGTCGATTCAGTCGAGGTCGGAAGATGCGTTTCTCATGAGAAAATATTCTTTAATATTGTCTTACCCCCTTGGGAAAAATCCTTCACGTCGTGTAACATTTATAACTTTAGGAGTTAATAATACTCATCATCCGTGTAATTTAACACGTCGCTAGGAATTAGCATATACCGTAGATCAAATCAACTAAAATTCTAATTCGACCATTCGTATATCTCCGTTGTGATGACTAGTGCTACGCGGTTCGCAAATTGCAAGGTTACGATCGTCACTTGACTTGAACATATTTGTATGCATAATACAGTTTATTGATTCCATATGCAGCACATCATGCTGTATATAGCATACTGAAAATTCATTTGATTGCCACCTTTAAAATTGCCAGAATAAATTACAGTATATCAGAATTCGATTATTTTGTCACCGATTTGAGATAATCTCATATGATCACGTTTTTCTATTGAAAAAATGGTTTTTTATAATGCCACAATACGTAGAATAAATAAAATGATTATATATAAATAAGTTGGATACAATACATAAAAATAAAATAATATGTTTATAAAAAATCCTTTTATTAATATTATCATCAACAATTTTTGTTATTTTTAAGAACTTAAAAATTATACAATCTATTTTTTTTTTTTTTTTTATTAAACCACAACTGGTATTAAATATGAGCCTTTATTAAGAATTAACTTAACCTTGGATATTTATATCTTTGGCATGATATCAATCATCTCTTACAAACTATATATTTCTATATACATATAGATTAATGATAACTCATTGTGATTGTTTCTAATTAAACCTATACACCATTCCAAAAATGAAGCAGACTCAATTAGGAACCAGAGATTAATACACAATCATCAATGACATTGCTAAGGCTAGTTAGTATTGAGCTATATATATAGATTACTTTTTATAATTCTTAAGTTAGTCTTTTTATGTATATACCTAGATGGAATTATATACTCTTTAATACTCCCTGATATTATTTACTCAGACTTCAAAAGGAAGAATGTCACCTTTTTTGTTACTACCTATGACATCGAGCAGTTCCTATTGACTAACTTTCAATTATGTAAGGTATTTTATTAGGATATTTGAACTAGGAGAGTGGGGATCCTGGAGGTTGCCAGGTTAGGTGTGTTATATATGTTCAGACGATTACCGCAGTTCTAAAAGTGGGGTTCTGAAATTTTATTTCCTGTCCAGTTCAGATGAATAATCATGTATAATTTGTATAATCAGACCAGAGGCCTTTCTTAATGCAATTCTCGTGATAGATTTGTTTCAGCCCAGTGATCAATGGGGAGGCCAGAAGCCTTATTCTCCTGCAACCTGATTATTTTTTTTCACATGGTCCTTGTGTGATATTGAACTCTAGATCTTGTGATTTTAACCTGGGAGTACTACCACTGTACTATAGACCCACAGGTCAAAATTATACAAGCTATAAGATAATAAATAATGATAATTATATAATAAATCAAATATTATTTGATTTTCATAAAAATATTTTAATTATATGCATATGTATTTATTTTTTTATTATTTTTTTATTATTTATTATTATTATTATTTATTTATTTTAATATTAATTTATAATATACCTTTTATCAATTTTTTCTATTATTTTCTTATTATTCTTATAAAATTATTCTTTAATATAATAATATTTTTATAAATCATAAATTTAAACTTTTTTTAAAAAAAAATTATAATATAAAATATAAATCTTTATTAAAAATCAATTCAATCTTTAAATAATCAAATCTATTTACTATTCAAAAACATTTATTTAGTTTATATAATATTTAATAAAAAAATAAATAGTTTGATAAATTAATTTTTTTTATACAAGCTAGATTATAGTTTATTAATCAATTAAAAATATAAATATAGTTTGATAATTTAATTTTTTTTTGTATAAGCTAAATTATAATTTATTTTATTTTATTTTTTTTATTAACCGCATCTGGTATTAGATGCGAGCCTTTTATTAAGAATTAACTTAAACTTGGATCTGAGTCCTTTAGCATGATACCAATTATCTTTTACAAACTATATATCTCTATATACATGCAGATTAATGATAACCTATTGCGACTTGTCCTAGTTAAACCTGCACATCACTCTGAAAATGAGGCAGATTCAACTAGGAGCTGATGGTTAATAACAGCAAAATGGTGCTATTGATATAGTTAGCACATCTGTTTACAAAAGGACTCTTAATATTTATACTAACTTATATATTAGATTGAATTCGCAAGGATTATTTAACCACTCAAATACCCTAATACTTTTTACTTGAACTTTAGAAAAGATTTCTTTCTTCTTTGTCACCACCTGCGGCATCACAAACAAACCCTGTTTGGTAAGTCCTTCATTTAAGCAAGCACCGGATTGGGATATTTCAAGCTAGAGTGATTAGGTAATGGTTTGGTTAGGGAAATCAGGTTTTTTGTTGTGCTAGACCTAGAAACCAGTTTAGATTAAGGTATAAGCCATGGGTCTTTCCTTATTAGGGGCCATGATCCTAATAAGGCGTGATCATCCTATGCCGATCTTTTGGAGGAGGTAAGCTGACCATAGTTTTTGGTGGAATCTTGGGAGAAAATTAAAACAAGAGAATGTTTCGTTGTCATATCCCTTAAGTTGAGTGGTGATAGTATTATTAAGTATTCAAAGCAAAAGCTCTCATCTAGCTGTTCACTTCTGACCAACATGATGACAATCTAGGCCCTCAGCAAGTACAACCTTATACTTTTGATGCTGCCAGATGAAATTCCCGCTGTTACTACCTCTTCTCCATTCATATGGCTTGGTAAAGTAGCTAGTAATTATAGAAAGGTATGCCTAGAGTTTTGAAAGTATAGCCTCCCTTGCTACAGATTCACCTTTCAATCATAAGAAGTCTTGTTTTGATCTTTTTTGTGTTTAAGCCCACTGTCTTAACCAGGGAAAAGCCTTGATGTATCATAGGGTTGATGATATGGTTCGGTAGAAAGAAGGAGTAAGAAGCCTAGGAAGAAAACCTTGGAGAAGGGAAAAACTATCCGTCAGCAGGAAGGGTGTAAAATAAAGGGGTAAGAGATAACAGGAGGAAAAAAAAGAGAACATGAGAGGGAAGGTTAAGGAGTTGGGAAAAAATAGGAAATATAATAGTATTCTTGTCTATGACAACTCAGGCATACACAAAGCCTCGCTCCAGAAGTATCCTGCCCCAAAAAACACTTCTCTTTGTCTCAGACATTTGCCATGTGCAGAGTTCAAGTCCACTCATGCTTCCCTAGACTTACTACTGCTTTCTATATATCAACAAGTCAGATAACAGAGCCTCGTGTGGTATCAGTATAACTTAGACTTTGTCCACCGCATGTTGGTATTTTTGTATAGAGGATGAAAAAGGGAAAGGGGAAAGAAGAGAACTTCCTAAAAAAAAAATTTTCATGAAGTAAAGGGAAGTGGAAAAGAGTTTTTTTGTTTAAATTATAATTTATTAATCAAATAAAAATAAAAATATATTTTTATTTAAGCAATATAATACATACTATAAAAAAAAACTCTTTCTGTGATCCCCAAATTTTCAGAAAATTTCTTTTTTTGGTAATTTTTTGAGAAAAAGAGAAACCAGTAAAAAAAAACAAGAGAAACCAAGAGAAATCACCTTTACAACTAAACAACTTACAAAAACAAGTT